CCATCCTCATCATCCTCATCATCACCATCATCCTCATCACCATCACCATCATCACCATCATCATCCTCATCATCACCATCATCATCACCATCATCATCATCATCCCCCAGTTACTTCTATTGTTAACAATGAGCCAATGTGACACACACACACACACACACACACACACACGCACACACACACACACACACTCACACACACACAGTGGGATAGCAGCAGACTTCCTCTCCTGACCCGATGACTCATTCAGCTGTAATGCTGCTTCTATATAAATACAGATTCAGTTCTCTCAGTGGCAACACAAACACGCACAGACAGGTGCACACACGCAGATGTCACACACGAGCCTGAGAGCTGAATGCTGAACAGTCAATGATGTTAAATCTCTTAAATATTGTGATTTTCATGTCAAAACTAAAGGTTTTTGTACTCAGTCAAATCAGTTCATTAAACCATCACTGTCTGTTGATGCTATCTAACACTTTATCATTATGACAGTAGTGTGAGCACACCGGCTACTGTGATTCACAAGTATTTAGCAGGGGTACTGTAGTGTTCTAGTGTGCATGGTGGATAATCAGACTAAAGGCAGAATTCAATTCCCTCACCGTTACTTCACCAGGATAATTCATTCAGTGTCAGAGGTGTTGCTGCATCCTCCATGTTAGTGGATGAGATGTGAAGCATTTATAAATAAAAAGCCTTGCCATGGACCAAACTAAACAATATCATAATACACTGATATCTGTTTTCATGTTTCTTTTGTTTAGCTTTGAGTAGTTATTTGATACCATAGCAACTAGGTGACTCCGAACAACTCATCAACTGAAGACACGGATTAAACATGGTTCATATTCACGCACATCATCACAACAAGCATAGGTGCCTATTTCTGTACACTGATAATTCTAAATATAGACTGTGACTCCTTATACTGCCACTATGAGCTGGAATCATCGTACATTATGGTCGGAAGGACAAATGATCGTACAAATAGAATAATTATCGTACATTTGGCAACACTGATGGTTGTCACGATTAATCCTGACAGCAGCATCTGTTCATGAGTTCATGAAATAATCCAACATATTTTACTCAAAACTGCTCGACTCCATAAAAACAGCACCTTAAAGCACTGTAGTGATGACGTAGGGACACGATCACGATCTTAAACAAGCCCTTGTTATTTTACCCACACCCCCCTGTTGTCCCAACACAGAGCGACACGCGTGGCGCTGCATGTGTCCTGCGGTGCTACAGTAAGCACTTCTGATCCACACGACCACATGGCCTTCTCTTTCACAGCCCCCTGCCCTCCCTCCTGCGCATGTGTGCGTTTATCACGTGTCCGAGAGCCTTTTATTTAAAGCGGCGAGAGGGCTTCAGTGCATCCTCTCCGCACGGCCATTCATCACCCGGACCGACTCATCCCTCCTCACCTGCTGGGGTCAACTGCTCTTCCTGTCCGCTACTCATACAAAAAAGATTACACCCCCACAGAGCAACACAGAGGCCTGTGGAGGGGATGAAGAGGTACTTTAAAACCGCGTGCCGCTGTGTGTGTGTTCTAACTACGGTGATGAAGCAGGTTATGGTGACTTGCAGCTGCTCAGTCTTTATCAATGTTATTTTCTCCACCTCTAACTAGACGCTGGAAAGATTCTGTTTGGAAATATCAGATCAGTGTACTGTGTGTACAGACAGACGAGGCTACGTGCTGGTATGAATATGACGTCCGAGTGTTGCTGGTCTCACTGTGAGCAGTGACAGCGGCTCTAGGTTATGTAATGAGCGTGTGGATGTGTGAATGTGTGGAAACGTTCCAGGATCTATAGAGTGAGGGTCAGGATTTGTCAGGTCCCACAGAAAAAAGAAACAATCCCTAAGAATAATCACACTGCAGCAGGGAATGGATTTGCCAGAAAGAACTATTATTGGTTTTCTCTCTGTGTGTGTGTGTGTGTGTGTGGGAGAGAGACTCAGCTCTGGCATCCCCCTGGCAAACAGCATCTAGAATTACTTAAGCCTCCACTGCAGATAATTAGCATTTTCAGTGACTATCACACTGCAGATCAGAGCAGCAGACTGTGAGCTCCAACCTTGAAATCACCAGAAACACCACATAGCTACGATGGCCCCGAGGGTCAGAACACAACACAAAGACATTTCACAACACGGCAACAGCATTTCATGAAGTGGGGAAAAAAAGAAAAAATTGTATTCTACACCAATTAAAAAAGTGTCTCCGCTTGTTTCTTCACAGTGACACCAGCCTTTAGCTGCTGCGGCTCTTGTTCTGCCTGAGCGTCCGTTCCCCAGTTTTTCCCTCCGGCTCCATCCCCTGAAACTCTGCCCAGCATGAGCTCCTCTCCGCTGGTGTCCCGAGCTAACATGGACATCCTGGATGAGCTGCAGCTGATCGCAGCCCAGAACCTGGAGAGGCTGGAGGTCAACAAGTACTACGAGGTGATCAGGGAGCTGGGCAAAGGCACCTATGGCAAGGTGGACCTGGTCATCCACAAGATCAGAGGTGAGAGGGCGAGAATGCATAAATGTGCTGTTTAATAGAAAAAAAAAGAATTTGGCTTTGAGGAACAAAACCATATCTGATCTGTTTTCCACAAAGGCACGAAAATGGCTCTGAAGTTCCTGAAGAAGAAAACAACCAAGCTGAAGTCGTTTGTGCGGGAGTACAGCATCTCGCTCTACCTGTCTCCCTGCCCCTTCATCATCAACATGTTCGGCATTGCCTTTGAAACCGACGAGTACTTTGTGTTCGCGCAGGAGTACGCTCTGGCAGGAGACCTCTTCGATATCATTCCTCCACAGGTACAAACATCTCATCCATTAGCTGCACTGCGTCATTGCTTTGGTGAAAAGTATCCATCTCGGTCTGTATTCATGCTGCAGCTTTTCTGGTCTTGATAAAGACTCAAAGTGGCACTGTGTCTCAGAACCAGATGGTTTCTGATATAAAGTCCGGTTCGGATGGGGTCCTCCTGTGTGGAGTTTGTAGGTTGTCCTCATGTCTGCATGGGTTTCTCTGGGTTCCTTCCCACAGTCCAAAGATATGCAGATTGGGGTTAGGTTAATTGGAGAATCTAAATTGACAGTAGTTGTGAATTTTTGTTTATCTCTATATTCTGACCCTATGATGCCTGTGACCTCGTCCAATGTCAGCTGGGATTAGCTCCAGTTCCCCCAGCAACCCTATAGTATGAACGATATAGATAAATGATTGGACTCCACTCAGACCTTCCTCTCTCTCTCAGGTTGGTCTTCCTGAGGCAGTGGCAAAGCGCTGCGTGCACCAAGTAGCCATCGCTCTGGACTACCTGCACTGTAAGAAGCTGGTCCACAGGGACATCAAGCCCGAAAACATCCTCATTTTCGACAGAGAGTGCCGCAAGGTCAAGCTTTCCGACTTTGGCATGACCCGCCGGGCTGGCTCGCCTGTGAAAAGAGTGAGTACCAGTTGCATTTTGGGACTTCTATATTATTTAGCATCTTGTTGCAGCTTTAACCTGTTGACCTTCTCCTCCAGGTGAGCGGTACCATCCCCTACACGGCCCCGGAACTCTGCGATGTGTCCCGCCACGAGGGCTTCTGCGTGGACTACAGCACTGACGTCTGGGCCTTCGGCGTGCTGCTGTTCTGCATGCTGACCGGCAACTTCCCCTGGGAGAAGGCGCTGCCCTCTGACTCCTTCTACCAGGAGTTCATCCGCTGGCAGAGGAGGAGGACGAACACGGTGCCGTCACAGTGGAGGCGCTTCACCGAGCAGGCCCTCCGCATGTTCCGCCGGCTGCTCTCCGTGGAGCAGGACCGCCGCTGCTCTGTCAAGGAGGTGTTCGGCTACTTCAGCCACTCCTGGATGCTGGATACGGAGAACAACAACAACAACGGCAACAGCAACACAGGAGGCGGAGGCGGCGGAGAGAGGGTTGGCGGTGGAGGAGGAGGAGGAGGAGGCGTGCAAGGCGAGGTGAACGGCACCATCTCATCGTCGTCGTCTGGGGAGGAGGATGAGGAGCTGCTGGTGGAGCGGATGAAGCAGCAGACTTTGTCCCCTCTCTCTCCCATGTCTCCTGCGGCGGTGGAGCGGGGGAGCGGCGGCGGGGCCAAGGGCGGGATGATGGAGCAGGTCAACGGCCACCATTTCGTGCCCGTCTCCACCAACAGTTCAGTGTCGTCCACCAACAGTTACGATCGAATGCCGCGGGAGAGCAGTTCCCCGGGCAGCCGCATGCTGGTGGCGACGCCCATAGAGATCTGCGTGTGAGCGCGTCGGATAGTTACCGCCACAGACTCACCACACGTTTATACCTCCCATCCACCCACATAGACGTGCATGCCTGGAAGACAAAACAATCAGACGTACACATGTCCTGTTTTAAACGCCCTGAGAACGGCACAGCACAGAAAGACTTTGTCAAGTGCGTACATCGCTCATGAGGTAAAAAAAACCCCAACAACTTCGGATTCAATGACGAGTGCGAATAAAGTTTTTTTGAAACCCAGAGAAGAAATGAGAAATAGCTTCCATTAGAGATTCTGTCACATCAGAGAAGAAGACCAAAATGTATTTCTTAAAGCAATACTTCCAGCAAAAAATACATGGAATCAAAAATATTGAAGACAGAGAGCGGCAGAGCGCTGGGTGAAATCTTCAAGACGTCAAAGACTTTGTATTTTTGAAGAGTTCAAGGAATCACCCTGTAAGAT